CCAAACTAAGACAATACTTTCTCTTTACCCAAACTAAGACAATACTTTCACTCCACCCAAACTAAGACAATACTTTCACTCCACCCAAACTAAGACAATACTTTCACTTTACCCAAACTAAGACAATACTTTCACTCCACCCAAACTAAGACAATACTTTCACTCCACCCAAAACTAAGACACTGCTTTCACTTTACCCAAACTAAGACAATACTTTCATTTTACCCAAACTAAGACACAACGTTCTTTCACCTTACCTTGACTGACCTCATGCGCATCCATTTGGTATTTAAGTATTTATCCAATTATAGACATGTGTAAGGAAAGCATCATTTATGTAAATTGCAGAGATATTGAATATATTTGCGAAAAATATGTCACATGTGTAAAATGAAGTTTTACTGAATGAGAATGCTTACAAAACAAGGGTCCGTCCTTGATTATGTTTACTAATTCACTTGCAATTTTCCACCTCAATGGGTTTTATTTTTTATTTGGTGTGGTCGCCATGATAATATTGTTCACATTCTTTTAACATTGTTAAAATATGCTATTCTCATTGCTTAATGTACAAACATTCTTTCTTTGATTTTTGAAACCCGCAAAATAACATCATTTCAGAGGTTCAGATAATACATGGATCGTATTTCCTGAATTTCTGTGGTTAATAAGATAATATGCGATGCACCCCTATTATCTTATCATTCTGTTGCAGCAAAAATCATTTTTTAAACTTGATATATATATACCTGATTGAATTGGAAACAAAAAGAAACATGTATAAATGTGCTGAAATGTCTCTTTCCATCACGTCTTATACATAACAAACATAGCCATGCCTGTATTTTTTCTACCATACTCATAGAGATATATTTTGTCATTGCTGCCTCAGAAAGCTGTCATAAAAGGAAGGTAACTGTAAAGGGTTTAGCTCGGTCAATGTGCTGGTCCATATTTTTCGGAACAACTTTGCTTCTTTCTCTTTCAACAAATTGAAGGCTTATGTTACCATAACAACTACCTACTGTTTATTCCACTGGGGAAACCAGAGCAAGTGCATCACAGTCGAAATAACTCACCAATTTTGAGCCACAGAAGAGATAGAAATATAACCAAATTATTGGTAAACAGAACGAGTAACCACTTTTCGCCGGGTGGGAAATACAAGAAACACTTGCCAACTGTGATGTATGTTGTAGACTCATAGAAATTGTTTCGAATACCATACCTCTTTCCAGTCAACGTATAGGGCAATAAACAACCAGTCATGCCAGACCAAGAATACACTCATTGATTATACCCGACTTAAGACGGACAAACATGTGGCGCGTCAGTTTTATGGCAAGCAGACTGATGAAGGAGTAATTTGGATGCAAGATAAATGACAGACTGGACTACACAGTGTAATCGTTCTGCAAACTAAGTCGATAAGCGTAAGTGCTTCTATGACCGAATACCAACAAAAGTGTATTTGCAAACAAGTTTGGGTAATAGGATCCTGTAGACTTTCTATGACACAATGAGTGAATGTTGCAAAATCAAAAGTTCGATAAAATATTTTGATTACAGTTGTGGGACGGTGGCCGCACGATGTCCGTACATGGTTTGCGAACGATACAAATCTGGACGATTATTGCTTGCGAACGTTGGACGAACGTTGTGCGATGACAAACGCGGTTGGTGTAAATTGAGAAGTGGTTTTACAATTTATACGGTTTCGTGTTAAAACCAATAATCTTTACTTTTAAGAATGTTTCTATATTCTAGCTATATATATCAGCTGATTTGATTTTTTAAATTTAGAAAAGGTGTTTAAGTGTTCTTTAAACGATCCAAATCGACACATGTAAAAATACCTATGGACATGATCCCATATACAGGTAAACATGACCACTTTGTACATGTACGTAAACCGTTTTCCACATCCGGGGCAGTTACGTAACTCGTCAAGGTGTGAAAATCTAGGTGTAATACGATATCATTTATCGGCTCTCTATGTCAGGAACAGGGCGCCAGGTAAAACTCCGGTCACTTATACAAATGTTATTTACCTGTTCTGTTACCTGGAAGCAAAATCCTTTCCTGACAGTCTTACAGTCACTGCAATATTGTGTAACACGCATTGTAAAATTGAACCTAATTTAATCAATATAACGATAAATTTATAAATACGTTGGTCTTTATTCCATACGCTCCTTTCAGAATTTTTTCATTCCGTAATATTGATTGACAAATTGTACCCAATCGCACATTTGTGCATAGAGAAGCGCAAAACGGGGCGAGCGATTGTTAAATCGCACAGATGTGTGCACCATGTGTGGACGATGTGCAGACGGTGTGTGCACGATGCATGCACGATGTGTGCACGCTGTTTTTGGTGCGTTGTGCGGTTACACATCTGTACTTAAACTATATAACCAAACTATATAAAACTGCTTTGACTATGTGTTAATGTATCAGGCGAAATATTGCAATGATTTTATAATGCCTGTAAATTGAGTTAGTGCACGTCTTTTACTGAATTAGTATGCTAATTATGAAACATTAACCTTCAGCTTACTGGGAATAATGTAGTCATTGTGTCACAGCCAGCCGAAGGGATATACTTTAACATCAGTATACTTTTCGTGATAAAGAAGCGCATTGCCTTACATTGTGCTAATAGTTTTACCTGCACTTTGCTTTCATTATATTGTAATGGAGGTGAACTTGAAGTCTCAGCCAAAGCACACTCTGTAATATTCTGGGAAATATCAAATCAATGTTTAGAAGAATAAAAAGCGCTATGACTGGTACTCATGATTTTTATTTCCTTGTCAATTGGGGAGAAAGGACATTCTGAAAACATCGATTTAAACCAATAAAGGCTCCCGTAATTGATGTAACATAAGTAAAACTAATTATTCAGACAGACACTTTTTTACTTTTCAGTATTATTAGCTGGGCTAATGAAATAATTGTCGAACCCGATCACTGCTTTGATATTAACGGGAGTACACATATAATGGTCAAATATAACTATCGCACGAACTCCGTCTATTTGGATACATTTGACTTCTCTTTATTTTTGTTACGCATATACATGTAAAAAAATATATTTATCATTCTCTACAAATATGTCTATATCAAGAATTGCTCACTTCATATCTCCTTTCATGTAGTTACTTACGAAAATCTTATTAAAAACGTGAATCATATAATTCCTTAATCAATTCTAGTTAGTTTGAAAATCATCGCAAAATCAAAATTATCTGTTTACGTTACTAGGAAAAACCAAAATTTCTCAGCATGACGAAGATTCGTCTGGCTTGTTTTCTGCCTTGACACATGTGAAGTTGACAGCCAAAGGACTTCCAATATTACGTTTGTCCTTCACTAGCCATCCAGAACTTATTAAAAACTTTTCTTTATTTTCGGTTCCCCAACCTATGCCATGACCAGCTGCGTCATCTATCGACAAACTGCAAGGAAGACAAATCACAGTACTGAGAGCGTACCCTACTCCAGCCACGTTCGAATCACCAACATTGTCCCCATGGTTACTATGTACATTCGGATCAGTAATGGATACGACACCTCCGTCCTTGAGAACGCGTTGAACTTCTTTCATGGCATTAACATGATCAGGTAGATCATGAAGGACGTCATACAAGATTACCCAGTCAAACTTGCCTGTCCAGTCGGCGGGCAATGATGTCACGTTTTCTTTAAGAAACTTCACGTTGTTGATGCTTTCGATTTTGGAGATTTCAATCGCTTTTCTTATTGCAATTTCGCTATAGTCAACACCGTATATGTCTGCGTCTGGAAAGCGTCTGCTTAATGCTCTACTTATATCTCCTGCTCCTGATCCAAGACCCAGTATGGTGGCCAGTGATTCTAAAAGTAGATAGAATAACCTGATGAAACCTTGCTACAAATGTACATGAATTTATGATAACACGGTTTGCAGTAAATGTCGATAATTTCCTAATTCGAAAATCAATAACACATGGATTCGACAGAAGCTTGTTGATGACCACTATAGGTAGGTTTGTTGTGGCCATCATGATCTCAGTTGGAATTCTCCATTTTTCTGGTATGATGTGAATGTTTTTTATCATGCGTATTAGTATGCTGTCTGGTCATGTTGTCACTACTCTTTTCACACTTTGAGAACGTGGATTTACTTAGATTTGACAGAAACTACCACGGGGTTTGTCGTTGATCAAGTACGAGACGGTTATTTGTTCGTTTGTTTCAAAAGCAAAAGTAATATATAATGGGCACTTCAGAGTACAAAAATTGTATATTGTTTTATTTTCATTGAAAACTTCCAACAGTTTTGTGTAACTCTTTCATTTCTTCATGCGTTTATTTTTTCACACTTCAAAGGTTTTTTTTGCAGGGTTAGTAATAACATCTATTGTTTTACAATAAGAATGAGTATTTTTCATTTTTGAAATGAGTAGGGATATACAATAACCCTTACTTTGTGGGGCTACAATACGATAACCCTTATTTTGCGTATAACCCATACTTTGTGTATAGGTTAATAATAACCATTATTTTGCGTATGGTTAATAGATAACCCTTACTTTTGTGAGGGTTTGCGACATTACCTTTACCTAGTGTGGGGTAAGTAAAATACCTTTTAACAAGGACAATAAAATAAGTCCTAAAAATAACATAAAATATTACTTTAATCAACACTATACGTACAATAAATCGAGGCATTACAAACGTCCGTAATTGATGTCGAAAAATAGAATAACCCTACTTTTGTGTAGAAAATTTTAATAACACTTGCCTTGTGATGAGGCAATAGATAACGCCTTATTTTGTAGGATGGCGATTAGATGACCCTTATATGTTATAGGGAGTTATTGTAATCCCTACTTCATTTGGGCAATTGTGTTATACCTTATTTTGTTTTGAGGCAAAACGATTATATGGTGCCCTAGATATATGACCCAAAGATAAAATATGTTAATATCTCTGTCTCATTTACAGCTTGACACAAACTTAAAATTACACTTAAACTTGGACCTAAACATTTATGAACATCTAATGTTTAATATTAATATATTGACTAAAGGAAGTAGTTTCCTTAGTGAATATCTTAACTCTGCTATTCGTGTTTGTGTTCAGAGCTATATAGAATCAACCAACAGATTTTGAAATATCTTATGTATGCATGTATATATGTATGTATGTAAGTATATGTATATGTATGCACGCATGCATGTATGTATGTGTGCATGTATGTATGCATGTGTGTATGTATGTATGTATGAGTGTATGTATGTATGTGTATGTATGTATGCATGTATGTATGTATGCATGTGTGTGTGTATGGTGTCTCCTATCATCATTGGCACTGATCTAATTCTTATGTTCCTAAAGCATGTTCGTTATGTAGATATTCATAGTTCATTATATTGCTATTGTTTGAGATGTATCTCCTGAGAGAGGGCTTGTATAGGCTTTGCCTATTGCCCAATTCCCATTAAATGTGATTGATTTAATAAAATATTTTGAAATGAAAAAAAACATGTTGTTGAGGCAACACGATAACAATAATTTGTTTGGAGGCGATTCGATGCCCCGTTCATCATGTGGGGGGAAAGCGATAACCCGTATTGTGTGTAATGGCAATTAAACCAAAACACATACTATGCCTGGATGCAACATGATTAACCTTCCATTGTGTAGAGGTCGTAGGACATATTTTTAGATTGAGAGGTTGCGTATGCTTACACATTACATTTTGTTTTTTAACCTCAATATGTAACGTGGATTTTGAACAGTTTCATTGCGATAAAACCTTACTTGTAAGCTTCGCGGCTGGTACAAGCAGCTGCTCTACTGCCCCGTCAGTATCCGCTACTCGTTCATTAGTGACATCAACTACTTCCGGAAGCATATCACCAAATTCATAACCTAAAAAAGTAATTTCATCTTTTTAAAAAGCGTTGATGATAGTGGAAAATGTAATGCATTCTCTTAAAAAGTGATGAGTATAGTATATATTGTTCGTGTCAATCAAGTCATATATGCTTGTTTGTGAAACGAATTAAAAAAGGCCAGATGGAGAGGTACATTCCCCGAGCTTGTTTTTAATAGATATATCACTCTCATTTCTTTTGGTTATTCTAAAATAAGTATATATGCCCGGGGTGATACATGTAAAACCCGACACGTATACGTTTTTGAAAAGATATTATGTAATGAGTGACTAGTTATTAGTTTTTGAGAAGAAGTCAAATTTAACCACCTTGTTATTTGCTCTGTTTTAAAAAAAAAAATCACAATGCATGCAATGACAGTTGTCATTATTAACAAAGGTTTGCGATCATTCAATAATTTGCATCATTAACCTTGAGGTCCGTCCTTCCTGAAGCAATTCATCACTTTGCCTGTCAGATTATCCAAGACAGGAAAGAAAAAAGGTAGCATCGATTCTCAGAAGCCTTGGTTTGAGGGACTGGGGGATGAAGTATTTGTCGGAGTCATCAAGTGACACGATTCTGGTAGAGACCATACAGCCCAGCCACTCGCGGACATACCTACAAAGGGAGATAATTACACGTAATAATTCACTAGACGGACCATCCACCCCAGCCACTAACGGACATCCCTGCAAAGGGAGATAACTACACGTACACATTACTAGTCATCCCATACAGCCCAGCCATTCCCGGACATACCTACAAAGGGAGGTAATTACACGTAATAATTCACTAGACGGCCCATACACCCCAGCCACTAACGGACATACCCACAAAGGAAGATGATTTCACGTTAAACATCACAAGTCAGACCATACAGCCCAGCCACTAACGGACATACCTGCAAAGGGAGATAACTACACGTACACATTACTAGTCATACCATACAGCCCAGCCATTCCCGGACATACCTACAAAGGGAGGCAATAACACGTAATACATCACTAGTCGGACCATACAGCTCAGCCAGTCGCTAAAGGGCATACCTATAAAGGGAGATAAATACACGAAATACATCACTATAAACACAGTATGAATATGATATACTCACCCCGTAAATCAACATGGACTTGTATTTTGTATTTGATAACAAGTAGTTGTATAATTATATTCTTTACGTATTATAATGTAAATACTATATACCATACAATATTGACATTTGTTACATACTTACTTATAAATACGGGTTTTTTGTATATGCGATACGACACAATTGCTCTAACCCATATCAGCCCTCGCCGTACCACACACCAAACCCCATATCAGCCCCCGCCGTATCACACCCCAAAACCCGCATCACCCTTTTTGGGAAAAAAAATCGTTTTTCAATATTTCAAAAATAAAAAATAAATCATAAGATAGTAGTTTTTATTAGTAAGTATGTACTAAACAGAATAAAATACGCCTTTTTCCATATCATACCCAGTATCAACCCTCGACCAATATCAGCCCTCGGGCCTTCGGCCCTTGGGCTGATATTGCAGTCTCGGGTTGATACTGGGTGTGATATGGAAAAAGGCATGTATAATTCTCTATAGCTTATTCATAATATTTAATGTATATAAGCCTAAATATGAGTCAGTCTGTGTGGATTTTGAACTCCCAGGGAGGAGCTAGTGAAGGAAGATGTCTAAAACTCACTCATTACTCTGGTGATGTCAAGAAGTAGCACAGCTTGACGTGTAACCTTCATGAACAGTTTGAGGTATCTCCCCTTACCATATGACTTGCACATTGATATCTGTTATGTATATACATGTAAGTTGTTTCACTTTTTCACTTTTTCATTTCACTATAAATTATAATATATTTATATGCTGATTTATACAAATGCATGCAGGAGAGAACTGATATAGGCATAGCCTGTTGTTCGATCCAATTCATACACCATCATGAATAAAAATGCGTTGAAATGAAATGAAATACATCACTAGTCAGACCACACAGATACACTTGGGCATTCCTACAAAGGGAGATAATAATTCCTAATGCATGACAAACCCGACTATGACGCTCAACCACTCCATGACATGAGTACCTGTTATGCGCAGATAATAGCGCCACGTGTGTTGACATGTACTGATAATTACATCAGAAGTACTGAGAAAAATCTTTGTCATTAAAATGTATTGTAACGGTTTAGTGTCGGTACGATATTAGTACTTCTCCTCTCTAAATTATTAGTGTCAAAATAATAAAGAAGCAAAGGAACGCAAGCTCACAAGAAAATGGCAGTTAGACTTCTTATTGTAATTTACTGAGATACGAACCATAGACGGTTTCCTTGGAGTGATTGAGCCTAAAGCAGGGTCGGATACATGTCTATCATTAGCAATACACACATGTATCAAAGTGTCCAGATGTAAATAATACACTGGTGTGTCACTAATGATACTTTAACTCAACTGTTGCAATACATGTTCATATAGATAAGGTGTTTACGTACCCTTTTCTATTCGTTCTGTATTATTTTCACCTCTGTGGCCCTTAGCATCGGTTCTAAGACCTAATGAAACAGGAATACATTGCCCCGAGCACATTTTGTATATCTAAAGAAGGTTCTGGAATAGCAAACCAAATATCAACTGTGACGTGTTCATTTCGCGAACAAAGTATAAAAAAAGGACGTGTTAGCTACATACACAGGACCTCTGATGCATACAGCTATTAATAATGTAAACACTAATGTTTCTAGATTAATAATCGTCGTCAAAGCGTGTCGACAATAACGTTCCCATCATTCTCATACTGTATCGTTAAAAGTCGTCTCTTGTGCCTAAAGAAATACAATATGACATATTATACAAATTGATAAGAGAGAACAATTTACCAATTAAGTGAGAATCTGTTCATGTACTTGTGATAGTGACATATCAAAAATGCGTTTTTTGAATGTGTATAAAGATATCTATTCATTATTATTCTATCAATAATGACATATTAAAGGTACATATATTAAATAATACTAATTTGAAAATATGAACGTCTTGCTCGTTTAATTTACAATATATTACACGTGAAATAATGAATTATAGAATTATAGAATTATAGAATTATCAGATAAATGTCAATATAGTGCATTTAGTGCGTTATCTAAATTCTAATTCTGCATGATAAGTGGAAATGCACAAAACACTTGGAGTTTTGTTATTTTTTGCTATTCAATAAATTCATAAACACTGCTTGCACACGCACAATAAACAATTGTACAAGCCTATATAATGTGATACTTCACACATATAACATAAACACTGTTGTACACGCACAACAAACAACCATACAAGCCTACATAATGTGATACTTCACACATATACCATAAACACTGTTGTACACGCTCAATAAACAATCGTACAAACCTACATAATGTGATACATCACCCATATAACATAAACACTGTTGTAAAAGCACAATAAACAATCGTACAAGCCTACATAATGTGATACCAATCATACACGCCTACATAATGTGATACATCACCCATATAACATAAACACTGTTGCACAATAACAATAAACAATCATACAAGCCTACATAATGTGATACATCACACATATAAGATAAACACTGTTGTACACGCACAACAACCAACCATACAAGCCTACATAATGTGATACCAATCATACACGCCTACATAATGTGATACATCACACATATAACATAAACACTGTTGTACACGCACAATAAACAATAGTACAGGCCTACATAATGTGATACATCACACATATAACATAAACACTGTTGTACACGCACAATAAACAATCATACAAACCTACATAATGTGATACTTCACACATATAACATAAACACTGTTTACACGCACAATAAACAATCATACACGCCTACATAATGTGATACATCACACATATAACATAAACACTGTTGTACAAGCACAATAAACAATCGTACAAGCCTATATAATGTGATACTTCACACATATAACATAAACACTGTTGTACACGCTCAATAAACAATCGTACAAACCTACATAATGTGATACTTCACACATATAACATAAACACTGTTGTACAAGCACAATAAACAATCGTACAAGCCTACATAATGTGATACTTCACACATATAACATAAACACTGTTGTACACGCACAATAAACAATCGTACAAGCCTACATAATGTGATACTTCACACATATAACATAAACACTGTTGTACACGCACAATAAACAATCGTACAAGCCTACATAATGTGATACTTCACACATATAACATAAACACTGTTGTACACGCACAATAAACAATCGTACAAGCCTACATAATGTGATACTTCACACATATAACATAAACACTGTTGTACACGCACAATAAACAATCGTACAAGCCTACATAATGTGATACTTCACACATATAACATAAACACTGTTGTACACGCACAATAAACAATCGTACAAGCCTACATAATGTGATACTTCACACATATAACATAAACACTGTTGTACACGCACAATAAACAATCGTACAAGCCTACATAATGTGATACTTCACACATATAACATAAACACTGTTGTACACGCACAATAAACAATCGTACAAGCCTACATAATGTGATACTTCACACATATAACATAAACACTGTTGTACAAGCACAATAAACAATCGTACAAGCCTACATAATGTGATACTTCACACATATAACATAAACACTGTTGTACACGCACAATAAACAATCGTACAAGCCTACATAATGTGATACTTCACACATATAACATAAACACTGTTGTACACGCACAATAAACAATCGTACAAGCCTACATAATGTGATACTTCACACATATAACATAAACACTGTTGTACACGCACAATAAACAATCGTACAAGCCTACATAATGTGATACTTCACACATATAACATAAACACTGTTGTACAAGCACAATAAACAATCGTACAAGCCTACATAATGTGATACTTCACACATATAACATAAACACTGTTGTACAAGCACAATTCACAATCGTACAAGCCTACATAATGTGATACTTCACACATATAACATAAATACTGTTGATACTGGTTTCAATGTAATAGTTCACATGCTTTCGGCAGAGCCTCGGGTTAGACAACCAAACACATCACCCCTCAGGTTGGATATTTCTCTGTCACACCCTCAAGG